TTGGGAGTACAAATTAGTTCGGTCCGTTTTCCAAAAGATGATCGCCTCCAAAGACGAGTCATTTTTTCGAGATTCGAAAATTGCCTGAGAGATGGGAAAAAGTAGTAGCCAGCGATGGACAATACTTTAATTAATCTGTTTATTCATTTTGTTTTGAAATACAAATGTATTTTTGAACACAAAAAACGGATCGAACTAATTTGTACACTATTTATTGATCAATTTTTACAACTTAAGACTTAAAACTTGAATTTGACGCCTTAAAATATTGTTGTTGATGCTGCTTAAAGCTTTAAAGGTTTAAGTAAGTTAGATTTTTAGTGCTTTTAGTAATTATTCAGATGTGTGATCACATTTGTGTCTTAAGATTCTTCGTTTATATACTATCTTGTATTATCTTCTTCTTTAATTCTTAACTATGCGACATGATATAAATGAAAAACAATTATTTTGTTTCAATAAATATTAATAAAAAGAACCTGTGTTTTTTTTCGATAATTAAAATATGTTCGATCTTTTTTATTCACGATATTATCCCCAAATGAACAGCGGACTTCTCTTGCAAGTTTGCCTGCTAATTATTAGTTGGTATAAAACGAACTCCAAATCATTTATTGGTAAGTTTCCCAACGCTCGCTATCTGCATTTAGCTGCATAATGTCATTACTTATCTGAACGAGCTACGATGTCGCCGAAGCACTAACGCTGTTCATCGCTTCGCGACACCGGGTTCTTCTTTTTCTCTTTTCACGGTGATAAAGTGACCTGAAAAATTCTAGCGCTGCCGCGGCAGTAATGCGATTGCGAACTTAATATTCCACAATTCCGGGTACACACCTTAGCCGCGAATTGCCGTGCTGATGTCCGTTTCATTTATTGGCGACGAGCGAAGAATTGTATTGCGCGTTGAGAAAGGCGATCACGAATTTCTACGAAAGATGCGGCACGTTTCGTGTGCGTGACATGGTGGTGATGTGCCTCAGATTCTCAATAACGTACGTGCAAGGAAACCCCATGGAAAATGGAACAAATCGTTGCCATTGGCATCTGGAAACTACCGTTGTCGAATAAAAGTCAACTCCGCCAGATTGTTAAGTTTATTTTTTCGTTGTGTGATTGTTGTATTTTCTGTGTCGGCGCACTGTGAAAGTCTCGCAATTAAATGCTCGCGCGTTTGCCGAAGCGCCACCAAAATTTCAACAAAAAGCAGGACGTTCTCCACTAAAAGGATGCACGTTGTATAACGCGCTACTGCAATCGGCCCAAGGTCGTTTCAGAGTAAATGCAATTTCGCGAAACTCCGATGCTCGCCGTTATTTCTCAACGGTATTTCCTCGGCGCGGCGAACCAAGGGATCAAACTCGTTGTACCAATTATTTCGATCGTAGCTATGTTAAATAAAAGTTAGTTCGATGTTCCATTAAAAGTCTCAGTGACGATATCCGACGCGACGAGGACGAGTCACGACAAAGGGTTAGCGATTACTCGGAGATAAGTTAGTTCGTGACGAAAATATTCGGTTAAGGTCTTCCGAGAGAGTGTTTCGGGGGTAGCGCGAAACGAGGCCAGACCGATCCTGGCCCCTTTAGATTATCGGAGCTTTTTCCTGGCCATACGCCAACGGTCACCATGGTAACCATCTTAAAACATATTATACTTGGTACAGTCGCACTCCTCGCCTTGTCGTTTCTTTACGGGAACACCGTCGTCGCCTTGATTCATCGAATCAAGCTGTCGCCTTCAGCGGCTTGCGACATTTGGAATCATTTCCCTTTCCCAGAGATCGAACCGTATCCTCCGTCTCGTTCGTCTCGCCCGGCACCTGCCGGATAGAGCGTATCCCGATAGTGTACATCTCGTTACATCCCAAGTGTCCGCTTCAAAGCAGACCGGCATATCGGTCTCAAACGACGGCTGATGTTAGCAGATATAGCTACGAGATTGCTCAATATGTGGTTCAACGTGTATGCCGCAGCCGTGCATGCGTTATACAACATTTGCTTGAGAAAATATACTCTATAGTTTAATTTTTTTTTTATTCTCAACTTTAGCAGAATTATAAAATATCTAACTTTTTATACATATTTATACACTTTATGCTTATAAGGAGATTACGTTTTATGAATTTAATGTATAAATAACAACTATAATATTTCGAGAGATAAATTACATGTCGATAATATTTTATTTCTTTCGAATCTATTTGATTTTAATGATATCCAGTAGAGCTAAAAAATATTTTTACATGTGCAATAAATATCAATGGAATTTAAGTTAGTTAGTATAATTATTGTTAAATATATATAAAAATCTTTTTTGACCTATCTTGTTTAATAGAATCTCGTTTATTTATCGTCAATATATAGCGTTAACTTATAAAGACAATAATTTATATATTTAAAAATTTATTGTTAGAATCAATATATAAACCAATACGCCCCTCTATTTGTATTTTGTCACATTTAAAAAAATATTAAGAATTAATCCGCATATTTCTAAAAAATAGTAATATAAGAATTCTAAATTTCTGAAGCGTAATGCACGTTAATTTATAGTTGCAATTGCGTTCCTCTTGCCCTCAATTCTAGAGATAGTTGATTTTAATTGGCTGAAAGGACTGGCGGTGATCCTACTGGCAATTTGCCGTCTGACAGCTTGTTTCGTGTAATGTATGTACGCTTGGTGAACAAATTAGTCGACAGTCCATTCGTAGATCGAGTTATCAGGAATTGACCCAGTATGTGTCCGTAATCGATACATTACTGCATATTAGTCTTTAAGCGATATTTGCACAAAATATAAGCATTAATTAGTAAGTAATGATACTTTTTCAAAAATTGCTCATATTCTTCAATAAAAGTCCTCTCTTTTCATAAATATAGAACCTATACATTACTCTTTCATTTATTTAAAAAAAGGAAATTATTTATATCTTATACCTAATTAAAACTTAACAATGGAAATTTGTATTATCCGATCCCTTAATGTTAATTACGTTATTATGATAATTGAAAACCGACTGTTCGTTGTAATAATAATATTTGTTATTTATTCCTGGAATCTACAAAACTATATTTTACAATTTTATTTTAATTAACATGCGTAAATTCAATTTTAATTGTAGTGTTTATATGCACAGAATTTACAAAAACTACATCACGCTATTTAATTGCAGACTAAAATTCGCAGGTAGATAAGTGCAACAACGCGGAAACAATATTGCGCGACGTGGAAACAATATGAATGTGGTTCTTTTTTTATTCAAGCGTGACATTTAATTACAGTGTAGACTCAGCTCTAGGTTTAAAAATGTGTACAACGTAATTGTAACGCCATCTACACGAAACATTAGCGTAAATAATCAATGATACTATAATGTTAATTAAGTCAATCTCCATTGTTGACCTATAGCAATTAATTAAATGATTTTATCTCTGTATATACACTCAAATTAGGGCAACGATTCTCGCGGAAATTCCGATGTCCGATACAAAATTACCGCGAAGCATTGTGGCATCTGCGGTAAACCACAAGCTGCCGCTCATCAGTGGTAAAACCCTGATTATTTTGTTATAATCATGCAGGAAAGACATGTATCTAGGATAAACTAATTGACAATTCAATCAACTGCAAAATTATTATTAATCAATAAATTAATATTTACATACATATATTACTATTTATAGCGTATGCATGTTTATATTGCTAAAGAGGATATACAATACATCTAGAATGATCAAAAAGAGAAGCCTATTTTTAATAACTTTTACGAAATTTTTGTTAACTTTATTCATACAAGATTATGAACAATATTATAATATATACATATATTAATGAGTGATGTATAAAATTTTTACTTAAAAAATAGTGCACAATTATTGGCTAAGCTTATCCTGAGCGGTAAAATCGTAGATTTCAGTTTATTTGAAACAAAACACATTTACAACAAATTCCTGAAAAAAAAATTATTAAATCTAATCTTTATCATAGCCAATCATTAGATATTTTCAATTTTAATAAAAATAATAATAATTAAACGAAAATAAAGGACAATTAGAATCAAATCGTAAATAAAAATAATAAAGCGGTTATAACATTGAATATATAATATAGATTTAAAAAATATGTATATATAATACATCAAATTACTTAAAATAAAATAAAACAAAAGTACTTAGCCGCTTATGATACATAATATTAAAAGATTGAAATATCTAATTGTCCTTTATCTTCGTTTAATTATTATTATTTTTATATAAAGAGTCCTTCATTTTTCAATTTATTTAATTTTAATGAAATAGTGGACTTCTGAATTTAAAGAGTGTAATTTTTTTGTAAAAAGAAAACTACCATTCGCTTTTTTTTTATTGTAAAGAAACTAAAATTTTAAACGAAATCAGTATAACAAAGGCTATGCTACGATGGTTACCGTAAATTGCTATGGACAAGTCAGACGCGAACAGTTGTGCCGGCGCTATTTTTTAATATTTTTAATTAAAAATTTTATGTAAAACACTCACCGATATACGTATAAAATATTGATCAAAACCTGTTTGAGTTAATAGTTTTTATCAAAAAATAATTAAATGTGTAGATATCATGTTTTTCAACTTTTCTGGATATATCCTTCATTAATAAATTATTCTTAATAACATCTGAGTATAAATATGTAGCGATAGACGTACTTGTATAATCTCTGATTTTAATTGTTACTTTTTTTTAATAAATAAAAAACTATTGTTAGATTTGTAAAAAATTAAAAAGAATGTAATGATTGTGAGGCGCTTCTTATACAGTAGACTTTTTTCGACGCTCTCTCAACTCATCAAAACTTCTCGCCTATCTGACTTGTCTCGCTGCTTATCGACCTATGCACTTTTTCAAGAAGTTATAACTTATTTTATTTGAGAAAGCTGAGAAAAAGAAAGAACGAAAGAAAGAAAGAGTGTGCGACACTTGAAGAATCTCGTTTGCTCTTTTGAAAACTTTTACTGTTCCAGGCACTCCTTAGAGGCGCTTTGACTCAACAGAGCGCTGTTATCCTCGTCTGCATGGCAATCGACCGTTATGTTTGCATGCTGCACCCTCATCGCTATCACAAGCACTCTTCTAAAAGGGTAAGCCTATTTTACCGTCTTTATTCATTTAACAATTATTAAACTATTAATTACTAATAAACACATATGTATTTCAATTATTAGTATTGTAATAAATCTGAGAGAATAAACATTTTAACAAATTGCAATGTTCCTTATAGAGACATCTTTTATTTTATAAATTATTCTCATTTTAAAATTTATATTTTTCACCTTTTATATTAAATATTAAAATTTCAATTATTTTTACAAGCTGCAGATGCATTATGCGTATTAAAAATTTTTATCTTTTAATATTTGTATTTTATAATAAAGTTATGTAATCTTTAATTATTATAAATGTTTAAAAAAAATACAGTCATATTTTCTATCAAAAATAAAATGCATAAAAATTTTACCTTATAACCATCATTTTCGAGTTACTATAATAAAATTCTAATTTTTTAATAATTATTTCTAACGGAATTTCGTATCAATCGATGTCATTCGATGTCGTATCATAAGTTTCTTCTGCAGAGATTCATTCTCCGAATTATTCTCTCGATTCATTCGATCCATCGACAATCGTAAATTTTCTCTTGTTAAACACGATATAAAGTGAAATGATCGAATAGTTGATTTGATTACAGACAATTGTCGTTTCAGACTAAAATAACTGTTGCTCGATGAAAATAGTAGGTAATAGAAAAACTTGTTCAATTCGTTTGAATTCACAAGAAAATAAAACCCATCGTAAATCGGCTATTGATACAATCATTTCACATTTCATGAATATAATATGAGAATATTTGACGATATTCGTATTCATGAATCTGGGGAATGAAAATATTTCTCGTTATACACGTTACAATCATCTTATTCATAAGATGCGACAATCTGATATCATTCGTTCGTAATCACGTTTAAAGGATAAAGATATTATATGTTGCTTTTGGAGGTTTAATATCGACATAGCTAAAATATCGGTATCCCGATGTTCGCAGAACATCTTTTTCAATCTTGTATCCATTATATATATATATATATATATATGTTACACAGTTTCATATACATAATATAACATGTAATATACGTCAAATATAGACATGAAAGCCATTGAAATGAATATTAAAAAAGATTGAAAGCTTAACGGAATAGAGAGTAGGAATTCCATTTCAAAAAATAATCTCTTAGTCTCTTTGGGATCTAGAATATCTCACGCTACTCAGCGAAATAAAAATAATAGCAATCGTTTCTGTTTTGTATTGTCATAACAAAAGAGTGCGAAAATTAGTAAGCGCATACATCTGCACTGCTTTCATAAATGGAATATTGTTTATCTCCTTCATTCTTTTTTATATAAAATAATTTTTATATAAAATACTAAAAATCGCAGAATACATACAATGTATACACAATATATATATATTGTCGATATATTTTTTCTCTCAACTCTTTTTTAAATATTTCATATAAAAAATAAAATGTAAAAGAAATATATGAAAACTCATTGTGGATTGAGGATTGGATACGTTTTCTGTGAAACTATAATTTATAAAGAGTACTGGGCAATTTTGTAAAGTTCGCTTAATAGAGTTTACTTAAAAATAAAGCTCGTCAAAACTAACTTGCCTGAACGTGCCAGGAAGCTATTAATCTGTTAAATTACTTCTGAAATTTCGACCTATCGATTACCGCAAGTTAATATAATCCAGTAATTTTGCATCACCTTTCTCGAACAGCAGCAACAAAAGCGATCGAGCGTTTTAAAAGTAACTTTTACGTAACAACTGCAAAGTTTACGAGCGCTATTAGCAGGATCCGTAACATGCCTGTAGTTTCACACTACGGTTTGTCAAAGCTCGGACGTGGTTTACTCTGGTTTAAGCGCCAAAATGAATTTCGGAGATTTAAAAGCACATCAAAATGCAAAATGTCACCGCGGCCTGTCGTTCGTCTACCACATATCCTTCTATTCCTGTAGCAATGCATCGTGTGTAACTAGAGTGAAATTTATGTGTAGCAAAGACAACAAAGCGGCTCAAAAATATCCTATTTCTAACTTTTGAGTTGTTGAAAAAAGAAAATGTTATAAATTTTAACCTAATACAGATCCAGTAGATAAAGAAATCTGAAGAATCATTCTAAGAGCGTTTAAAAGAAAAAGCCAATAAAAAAATATTTTAATTCTCAAAAGTATTTAAAAGTAAGAAGAAATGTAAAAAAATTTTCAATCATTTTATATATGTATCACCAACAGATTCACTTCAAAGAATACGGTTTTCTAGCGCTACCTGTATTAGACTTTTCAATATATATCTCCCGCTATTTTATAATTCTTCTTTTCTTTTAGAAAATGTGCAATTCGTTGCCTATATTTTATTTTCACGTTACAATTGATAAGATAGTAATTTCCATATACAAATATTTCTTTACGTCCCATATAATTTTCATTTATATAATTATTAAATTACATTCTCTTAAGTTTTAGTTTCTAAATATCACAAATATTTCATGAAAAAAATTGTTTTAACAGTTTTAGGTATTTTTAATGTATTTTTGTCTCCGTTTTTCAAAATCTATTACAATTTTGATAAAAATGATATCAATGTGCAAAAAATGACAATTTTAAAGATATTCATAATGTTATAACATTAGCAACAAATTTTTTGTTCAAAATTTCATCAATGCCACGCAAAAGAAGTTGTTCTTTTCTTTAATAAAATGAGTGAATAGAATAAAATAATGGAGTAAAATAATAGAATAAAATAAAAGAATGGAATAGAATTGCTATTTGCACAATCACTAAAGTGAAAAAAAGCACAGCGAATGAAAATCACTGGTAAAAGAAAGGCGTCCGACAAATCGCTGAGTCGTGTCTTCCATTCATTCCGTAATTTTCCGCCTATCGAACGTTTGGCCGTCATCGAATTCTGGCAAACTTTGTAACTTTGTCTCTTTTTATATTCGATCGATAGAAGCTGTTGCTTCTCGATTTTAATTTCACATTTGCTCTTATTGTACTATAATATGTATTATGTTAGTTCGCAGATAGAGTTTCGTGTTTCAGCTTTAGCCATATTTGAACTGGCTACAGCACGTATTTAGTTCCAAATCTCGACAACTTGGTCTTTAGCCTTTGTTTCTGATGTTCACAATGCGCAGATAATATCAACCCTTACACTATTTTACACGGATCGGTATCTCTGATAGTATAATATTTTCAGGAATTCTCCAACACAGAACTAATTATAAGATGCAACTTAAAATGGTGTCTATATTAGTAGCTCTTTAAGTATCATTTGTAACTATAGTTATAATTTTCACATGCGATCACAATCATTAAGTTTTATTTCATAACATTGTTAATACGTCTTATATTGAGTAAATAATATCTAATTTAAGAAATAAATTTTGTACAAAAAGATATTAATTTTAATTTTCTTATTTTCTATTAGTTGTATTTTCACATGTACGTTTCAATTAGATTCTTATTGTTTTTATTGTTAATTTTAACATTTTATTTTTAAAGTGTAATTACGTTTTAAAGATAAAAATTTAGTTGTTTTTAATATATAAGAGCACATGAAAGCTTTTGGGTACTGATAAATTATAAATTTTGTAGTTAAACATAAAAAAAGAAAAATCTCGAAGAAAATTATTGTTCTCAAGAATACGTCTTTAATTAAGTATATTAAGTTTGTATATTAAATTTATACTTCTTGATACTATCTCGTATTCATTAAATGAAAAAAGAAATGCTAAAAAAAATAGTTCATTTTAAATATCTATGATCACACAAAAATTTTGATATTTTTATATAGTAATTTTCATTGTGTGAATATCTGTGATATTTCTGTATACACTTTAATATTTTTTTATATTTTTCTACCAACATTTGATATCTCAATATTTTTTATATTTTTAAATAATATTTTTAAGTTAAAACACGCGCGCGCGGATCGCATTTGTAACAAAAAAAGACGTCGCATAAGCGTTTATCCTTACTACTTAAAGAGCAGCAATTTCGAATGTCATTCCATTGATCGTCTTTTGGGATCAGGACGAGGTTAATCTCGATAATACTTAACACACCGGGTTTATGCTGTAAAAGTGGACCGTCGATAAAACTAGTTCGTGGAACTTTCTTTATTTGCTTGGAGAGATTTGGTCAGATGAAGAATGACTTCACTGAATGCAATGTATCTAAAACTAGTGTAATCGATGTTTTTAAAAGATAGCTTTTAACCTTTATATGACATTTTTATAAAATTCTCATAGAAAATGCCGTGTGAATTTAATATAATTATAAGTTATATTATAAAATAATTATACTATAAAGAAGATTGCGCGTAAGCAGGCAATCCGGGTTCGACTACAGGCCGAGGTAATATTTTTCGCAATGTAATTAAATTATTTACAGATTTTTAATATGTCATTCATAGATTTTAATATATCATTCAACATATTATTAAGATCCAAGATGCAATGAGCATCAAAAATTGTTGGATTGTTTGTCAATTTAACTCGTGATAGTACTACGGTAGTTTATTAATTTGCGTTGTAAGTCCGAAAAAAATTTGAGAGCGCATTTAAGGATTTACATACGTAGTACATATAATATACATATAATAATACACATAAATTCGCACGAAATTATATTAGAAGCATTCAAGATCAAGCTTGACCGTAAATGGCTTATTCTCATCGTTATTTATTATAAAAAAGGTTATATAAGTTACATTATAAAATATATAAATTTTAAATATGCATTTAATATACAATAATATACACATATTTTTGAGAAACAATATTTTAATATTTCTTTTTTGTTTTACTTTTTTAATTACATTTATGTTCAACTCGAGGCTATTTGTATACATTTTATTTGATTACTATTTGGAGAATTACATCATACATTTAAATATTTAATAGAATAGCAGTACTTATTTATCACATACCACACAATATTAAATATTTTGTCTAATCTAATTAAACAATGAGATTTCTGATAAAAAAAAAAACAGTGCATGTAATCATTTGAGTAAACGACACGGCCGCGTATGATATACTACGAAAGATATAGAATGTGTGCAAACAAGCTCCGGTCTGGACCGATAAAAATATATAGACAAATACATATATATGCATGTATGTGCACCATATCTATAAAACGCTCAGCGTATAGGTGAAAAAGAGTGATCGTTTTCTGTCTATGTTGACACAGTATTACATGCGGCAAGGCTGCGTGGCAGTGATGTCGACCACTTGGATAGCAAGCGTGGCAATTTTCGGGGTTCTGGTACTCCCGAGAGGCGGTTACTACTTCAACGGGTCTGGTCTCCTCGCCTGCGACCCTTTCTTCGCTCGAGCGTCTCTTAGGTATCGCCACAGCGAATGCCGGTGATAAGCTCGACATTTCACGACCTTGCTCGTCACATTTGTTCACTACGCCGGTGACCAATTGCGGATAATTACAATTTAATGTTGAGAACGCCGCGCGGTCGATCGACTTGGGAGAATACTGAGGCGGTCAACCGTGAAAGATAGTGATATATCCGCGTTAATGTTCCCTTCCGGTACGCTTAAAGTCTGATCTAAACCGGGGTGCTAAATACGAAAGACTAGGTTAGTTCGACCTATCGTAATGTTTTTATCGGATTGGTACTTTAGAAACTCTATCTCGCCACATTAGTTCAAACAGAATTATCTATTTATATTACGGCTTTTGTAAACGTTTTGAAAATAGAATATAAACAAGTTTATGATGATTTAAATGCACGCGAGATAGAGTCAACCTCACGAAGTAGCTACATTACGAAACATGTTAATTTATTACAGAGAAAGTTGATATAAATGCATCGTAATACTATTTTTATCGTATTATAGATACTAATAACTTCACGTATGTTTCATCAGATTTTGCGTCATCTATTTGTACTAACTAAGTTATCTTCTTTGAAGAGATATCTTCTTCACTGTACCTAGTTATATTCCCGTTTGCATATGACACGCTAATTACTGCCTTTCTGGGTCGGAAAATGCTCTTTATCGTATCTCCTTTTTCAGGATCCTGGCGTGTTGCTGTTTTTATTTCCCGACGACGATGGTGCTGATGTACTGTTACGGCTCGGCTTTCCATGTTAACAAACTACGCTTGAAAAGAGTAGTCTGTGTTAACACACCGGAGGTCGTTAGTGGCGGCCATATAGAAAGGGTAAGTCAAGTTTATTCGCTTTGTGAATGCAGTTTAAAATCGACAGTTTATTGCCGAAGCATTTCGATTGATGATAATTAACAAAACAATTCGGTAAAATGTAAGCGAAAACGTTACAAATAATTGACAAATAATTCACTGTGTACACAAATACGTTACACAGGGCTGCGTTCAGGAATTACGCCTAGGTAACTCTTGGGTGCATTTTTGCTATAATACTATAGTCTAGAATTACCTAGGCTGAACGCAGCCCAGCACAAATTGCGAAACTGTCATTTTGCAAATCAGGAGACGCGATAGTGTCTCCGGCCATGTTCAAATCAAAAACTGAAAGACACTACCAAGTCTCTTATCCCGAGCCACCAAAGTCCATTTTTCGGGGATGCATAACTAATTAAAATACAAAAAATTTTTAATCGAACGTTATATGTCCTGAAAGGCGGCATCGTCACGAGTAATTTGGGCCAAAAAAATTAAAAATCGGTCAAGCTGTTCTGGAGATACAAGCGGTCGAAAAGTAATGATTTTAATGAAAAATTAAGAAACGTCTCCTTCTTCTTCTCCTTCTCTATTTACATTCAAGGCTGTATTAAAACTTTTTAACATCCCCTCTCACCTTTCACTCACACCTTCACCATCTTCGACCCACCGCACCCCCCCTCTCCCCCCC